TACTTAAAAAGAGTGAACTGGTTGCGGCGTGGAGACTATAGAAGTCACTTCTCTATAGTTCTTCAGCTGTGCGAGATTTCGGATATGGAGCGATTTTCTGCCATGACGAAGGTCTTCTTTCAACATAGCCAGGGTGCACTGGTGTTTTGGGGACCTCGCAATCCGTCATCGCTTGCCAGAGCCGTGCAGTGGAAAGCCAAGATTGCACAAGAAGTTCATCCTCCGATTCCTTGCGTTTTAGTGACGGAGAATATTAAGGATTCACAGTTAAAATCAGTGGAGTGGATCGGGCCAGGGAAAATATTCGAAAACGAGTTAGCTCTAGATAGGTTCTGTCGAAGACACGGTTTTGTGGATCATTTTGAAATCAAATTCCGTGACTGGGAATCTGGAGAAAAGAGCGTTTTCGGACAAGCTGTGACCTGTGCTCTTGACGAGATTTTGCAGAACGAACATAAACAAGACAAAACTTGGATTTGACTCAAAAATAACCTGTATAGAGTGAGCTTTATTACTACCTAAAGCCGAGCGGTTTTTTGATTGAGGATCTTATCAACTTTCACTTTTTTGCGAGGGAAAATTTGTTACGAAATTTTTCCTTTGTTGTCTTTTTTGCTAATCCTATTGTTGTATAAAGTTTGCTTTGTAATAAAAGCCCTACCTAAGAATGTTAAGTTATTATTCTAAATATCCATTCACAGACGTGGTCTTCGAAGCTTCTCATTCGGCGCGGAGCGGGTGACAAGACTAAGCTTGCACATTATTCTCGTTACATTTAATATATCTTGTACTGTAATTAAATTTCCTAGAGTGTATATTAACCACGTACATTGACGAAAGCATAATAAAGATTAAAAAGCACCGTATGAGCCATGTACTTACTAGCTACCTGAATAGGCCATTTCCGAGTTCCAAAAACCCTCACTTTCAATACGAGGCTGAGTGCAAATAATGAGTTTCATCTGCATGAGAATAAAAAACCATTTCGCACTTAGCAGAGGCTTCGGACATCTCGGAACAGGGGCGCCCTTCGAGAAGGAAGTTCAATATCACGTAAACATAGCATTGTTAAATGTATTTTAGTATTTAAACGGTAGATATATGCATATTTTTGTCCCCTAAAAATTTTTTATCTGTTCGGATTTCCTAGCTGAAAGTCTAGTGATCCGAAAATTCTAGGTGACCTTTTTAGGGTAAAAATCTGTTGAAAATGGGCAATTATACCATTTTTTAGATGTTCGAAAATCCTAGGAGAGGCAGGCCCCGGGGGGACGGGTGCTCCCATACATTACATATACGGGTATGTGCCGCCCAACGGGGTCGTGATTTTGAAGCTCCTGATTTAGAACGGGGTATCCATTTCAGAGGCGTTTTCTAGAACGGGGTATAAAAA